TTTTTAGATACTTAAGATATACCTTGAAGTTTGGATTGCACTATACAAGATATCCGACTGTACTTAAAGGGTATAGTGATGCAAAATAGATATCTGATATGAAGGATACAAAATCCACACGTGGTTATGTTTTTACACTTGGTGGTGCAGCTATATCTTGAAAATCCTCTAAGCAAACGTGTATTGTCATATCCACAATGGAATCTGAATTTATTGCCTTAGATAAAGTAGGAGAGGAACCTAAGTGGTTTCGCCAATTTTTAGAGGATATTCCAATATGGCCTAAACTTGTGCCAACAATATGTATACATTGCGATAGTCAATCTGTAATTGGTAGGGCACAAAGTGACATGTATATTAGTAAGTCTAGACATATACGTCGTCGACATAATACCGTTAGACAATTGCTTTAAAATGAGATTATTTCTATTAATTATATAAAATCAAAAGATAATCTAGCGAATCCGCTTACTAAAGTTTTGAAGAGAGAACAAATAAATTGCACATCGAGGAAAATGAGATTAAAACCTATGACACAAGAGTTACCTTAATGGCAACCCAACCTAGTTGACTGGAGATCCCAAGATCTAGATTCAAAGGGATAATCGAATTATGCGTGATTCAAAAAAAGCACTAATGAGATAATATCTCTTATCTATTTCTATGATAAATTAATGTTGCTTGCAGAGTTTATTAGGGTAAGTTATGTTTTTAATGACTTTTATACCTTGGTAAATTCAAGTGGAATATCGCAGGATATTCCTAATAGGAGTCACCTATATGGGTTTGAAGGGGCCGCTTCTATGAGAATTTGTAAAGGCTGAATTCTCTAAAGCACTCATGAAAATCAGGAGTTGTTCAGGGCCAAAATGAACATAATTATGAGAACCAATTGTGTTAGAAAAGAGATTGTGTGAAGTCTATTCGATCTGATTTATCAAACAGTTGAACAGTTCAAGACATCATGTTCACTATTTAGCCGGTAAATCTAATGGACTTTTACTAGGAAAGGTTCAAGACCAAAAACTATCTATTTCGATGCACGATCTTTTCAAAGATGTACTCTCTATAGTGTGTCAGCATTATCATTTGCATACTAACAACCAATTTTTCATTCATGTGGGAGATTGTTGGACCAAAACAGTTTTTAAATGTAAAAATTGAATTTTTTGGTCGATTTTGAGCCTAAATTCAAGTGAAACTCGTTTGTTATTTTGAACCAATTTTCGTGGGTTCATATTCTACTATGTGAGGAGAATAATGTAGTATATTCACTTGTTCAAATCGAGTAAGAAATAAATGAGAAAATAGGCTCCAAAGTAACCCTCTTAAAATGTGAAAATAAAGGAAATGAAATGTGGGATGTGACACCAATCCCACATTGGTTGAGGAAAAAATTCAACATGGACATATATAGGCTAAGTTTGCTTCATGAGATTGGGCCCCAAGGAGAACCACAGTTTTATGAGCAGAGTGAGTACCTACATGCCTTCGGTTCAACCATACACGTGTGCACGCGCTGCTCGTCCGCCTCGCCTCGCCACGCCACGACCACAACTTGACCCGGCTGGGCTGGGCTCGGGTATGGGTGTGGGTTAGAACAAATCCTATCTTTTTGAAAAAAATAAGAACAGTTACTCAAGGTGTCTACTGGCTGTTGTGTCTTGTCATTCTGGGTTGTGTCCTTTAGTAAGGTGATTGTCCGGTCACCAATGTGTCTATAAATACCTAGGCTCATTTTCATTAATTTGATTCAATTCATCAGTCCATATTCGACAATAAGGCAGATATTAGAACATATCATTTTTGGCATTAAGACAGTGTATTTAGAGAGTACACAACACGATTTTGGTTCGCTAGACGAGCAGATTGGAGTGCTACTTTTGTTCGTGTAAAGATCAGTGTATTTTGGGAGATAGATACTCGGTTTTCGTAAACACCGTGTGTGGGGGCGAAATCTGTCTTAAGGACATAGTGTCAAACACTAGCCTTGATTTACCTAAAGTTCAATAACAGTTCCTGTTCTGCAATCGGGTTAGTATTTTTTATAGTTTAAACAAATAGTTCCGTGTATCTATTTGCTGTTACTATTTCGTTACCCTGCTATAACTTTTTCGTTTTTGTGTAACTCTTTACTGTAACTATTTTATTATACTTTGCATGGTTCAAATCAGAATTTTTAATAAGTGATTTTATAATATTTGGCACACCATAAGCAACATTTTTATTGCTAACCTATTACACACCGCTACTCGGCTCACCCACTAGACTAGGAGGAGGAGTCCCAAATTAGGTACAGGGCGAGATGACCATCCTCAAAGGAAAACTGAGCAATGGGAGTGGACTATCTTGATCGTCAACCTTGACCTGGGGCAAGATCTTGAAGGTTTAGTCTGCTCAAATATGCCTCCTAGTGTATGACTCATTGGCCACTGGGATGTGCTTGATTGAGATCTATAAGGACACCTAAGGTAATTGGAATTGGTGGCTGAATGCTCGAAATTATATGAGTTTTCTTTATCGGACACCTTGACAAAGGTCTTGAAGAAAAGTTCAGAAAGGGAAGGGAGGACCCCAGGTAAAAGCGCTGGGGGTATCACGTACATGACCCTCTCGTAGTCATGGTCCCGTGACGACCAGATGCGATCATTAACCTCGGGAGCCCTCTTTCGTCTCAATTGTCGCACCTCTCCGAAGGCAGCATCTAGTTTGCGTTTGGAGAAACGTCACATTTTCTTAATTAATGTTTGAACACGTGGCTCATGGTTAGTAGTCACTAATATTGCCGCGGTCAAGACAGTTGTGAGTTGGCGCAAGTGTTAGAGGGTTGCGACAGGTAGCCCTTGGGATAACCCGACATGCTTGGACACTGTGTTATAAATACCCGCATTAATATCCTATTGTAGAGGAAGGATTACTACTTGGCTAGTGAGAGCATTTATTCTCTCCGCCTACCCTCTGCCCAACTAGTTGGTCCCTTCGTTGATAGGCTGCTCGAGTTCTTTCTATGTCATTCACCTTCCTACTCATTCCCTTCAATTATTCTCAGCATAGACACGTGTCAACCTCTTTTAACTCTACGCTTATACTTTTCATAATTGAAGGGTTTGATTGAGATAAAATAAAATTTAGGGGTTTAATTAAAACTCAAGGCAAATGTTGATTGTCCAAATATGATTTTTACCCTAGGGTATTAAAAAGCACAAATTCCTTGTCAATTTATATTTTGGAAGAATGTTTGTGCAGCCAGAAACAAGCACCGTGGACATTGTCTCTATGCGACAACTCTGGTGGCTTCGATTATCTTTTCAGGTCCTCTTTAATTATGACTTAATTTTTTATTAAAATTTGAATAAAAAGTTTGATGCAAAACAGTCCAACAAACTCTTTTTACTTAAATTATTTTAAAATTTTCTATATTCTCCCAAGAGTTCATTTTCTTATCCAAAATTTCTCAACTTCTTCCATAAAAATCTCTTTTTCATTTTAAATATCCATTTACTCTCAAATCTCTTTCCCTCGCCGTTGCCATCACATTTTAACCCTTCTTCAAACTTAATTTCAACCAATATTTTCTATAATTAAAATTTTATTATTTAAATTTTTTGCCTGTTGTTTCTTATATTTTTTTCGTCAAAGATTAAAAATATTCATAATATGTAATTGCAAAATTTGAAAAAAAAAAATGAAATTTCAATCTAAGCTTGGCCAATGATGCTCGTGGTGATGATTGGATTTCAAAGATTGTCATATTTTTTGTACTTATCAAATATGGTTAAATAGAGATTGAAAATAAGAAATAGAAAAAAAAATAGAGAGATAAATTAATAGAATAGAAAAATATATAAAAATTAGAGGGATCGATTAAAGAGGGTGAAATATGACTTCGATAAATAGAGAAGAATGAAATATGATAATTTGAACATAAATTTAAATATTTATTAAATTGCTTGGAAATTAAAGTTTCTTAATTTAATTGAGGTAATATATCATATAATTAGTTCTTAAACTCTTATTTTAAGACAATTCTAAATTTTCAAGTGTCTCAATTTAATCTTTCCATTATCAATTTAAAGTCAATAAATTCTTTCATTCATTTTAACCATTAAAACAAAAAGTTACACACGACATGAACAACCACATGACAGATAAATGAATATGTTTTTGTATGTTTTAATGACTGAAATAAATGGAACGATTTTATTGACACAAAATTAATAATTGAAGGCTAATTTGAAACAATTAAAAATTTATAATACAAATTGGATAGATGGAAAATTTTTGTTGGCACGAAATTAATAATTGAAAAATTAAATTAAAATAATTAAAAATTTATGAGACTAAATTTTAAAAACAATTATTATATTTGTTCTTTAATTTAATATGAGTTTGAGTATATCGTTCAAGCCTTTTTTTAGGCGTAAGGTTCGGAGATGCCTAACTAACCGAGGACGCGTGTATTGTGAAAACAAACAGAGACGAACTAGGTCGATCTTCGTCCATTCCAAACATTACGGTCCCTTAGACAAGGTGTCGTAGTCAAGACAGTGGATCTTTTGTTCTCTGAACTTACAGCCACTTGCCCTCGCTATGACGGAGCGTCTTCGCTCTCCTTCTCTCTCTCCAGAGTTGGAATCAATCGAGATGATTGAAGAAAACTCATTGATTGAAGCAAACCCATTTGATCTTCTGAACCAATTAGAGCAAATTTTGGAGACTGATGCCAAAATGTAAGTCCGTATATATATGTATATGATATGTGGATACTGTTGATATCAAGCTTGTTAAGATGCCGAGTGAGTTCATGTTAAAGTACATCAAAAGTGAACCTATGTGATTTTCTTATTTGCAATTTTATGTGCTATTCTATTGTCAGGCATGGGCGGATCCAATTTTTAGACTTGGGCCGAATTCATTGGACGAGGGTTTTTCAGAAAATAGAGAAAAGTTTAGACGGGAGAACTCTTTGTGAGGTTCATTTCATAAATGCGTATCAAACTAAGAAATCGTCAAATGTTAGTATCAGGTTTTAAGCTCCTGTATGGAACATTGTGCTATACTCTGCATGTAATTGAACTTTAGGGCAATGGTTACGAATATTTTTACTTCAGGTTTTCCTTCTTCGATACACATCATCCGTATCCGACAATTAATAAAATATGTAGATACTTCACGGATAATTCTAAATATGGAGCAATATGTACAATTTTTAATTTTAATTTATACCCCCTTCACGGATAATTCTAAATATGGAGCAATATGTACAATTTTTAATTTTAATTTATACCCCCTTCTTTCGAGTTCACTTACAATATAAAATATCAACAAACTTTCATTTTGAGGACACAAGTGATTTTTAAGTAGTATTTTGAAGACACAAGTGATTTTTAAGTATTATCTATTATTACATGTCAAAAGAGTATAAAAAAAAATGAGTCACTTACACTATAGTCTAAAAAATAAATATTTGTAAACAAATCAACTAGTTAAATGTAGTTATGATTCCTTTAATTGCCCATGCTTATTTTATGAATATATCATAATGAAACGATATGATATCTTTTTTAAGATAAAAATTCTTAATTTTACTTACTAATGTTAAAGAATTATTGAAAATTGTAAATTCTAAGTCATTAAATAATAGTAAAATATGAAATATATTTTATTATAGACGTATTTTGGCCGTACCTGTATCTGTTTTTTTAAGTTTTGTTGTATCATTATATTTGTATTGTACTGTACCCGTATTAGGTATCCATATCCATGCTTCCCAGTTAGGAGGCACGAACACGTTTGCCATATCCGATATGATATGGACATAGAGATGGCAAAGTTAAAAAATATAGGTCACGGGTATAACAAAGATACGGCTAATTAAAATAATATAATATATTTTTAGATAATAATATAATTATAACATATTAAAAACAACTTATTTTATAACAATATTAATAATAAGATCTAACAAATATTAATTTTTTGATTAAAATTGAAGTGAATTAAAATAAACATCCACCATTTTCATCGAACATCATTAACATTCATAGTATATATTATATAACACACAAAAAAAAAAAAAAAGAAATTACACCCTTCTTAATAGTTAATAGTTATTTTTTTTAGAAAAAATATTGGCCGTGTCCGACTAAGTTCACCATTCAAGACACTTCTAATCGTATCCGACATTGCCACGACACCCCTCGGGAAGTATCTGTGCTTCCTATCATGCTTGTTAAAACGCCGGGTTCAAGTATAGCCAAGGTGACTTTCTTATATGCGAATTCATGTGCTATGATGTTGTCAGGCATGGATGGATCCAATATTTAGATTTTGGGGGGATTAGTTGGACATTTTTTTAGGAGGGTTTTAAGGAAAATGGAGAAAAGTTTAGAGGGGAGAACTCCTGTTAGAGGATCATTTCCTAAATTCTATATCAAACTAAGAAAATTGTCAAAGTTAGTGGGGTGGACTCACCCTCCCCTCCTGTTATTAAAAATTGTGCCTTACTTTGCGTGTTACTGAACTTTGGGTCAATGGTAGTGAATATTTTCACTTTCATTTTTTCCTTCTTCTGCATTCTTTTCTATATTTTTTTTTCTCAATTTTGTTGCTTCTCACTGGTGAAAACTTATGCATATATGAAATAGAGAGCCTTGTGTGGACAGAAGGGCTTCTCAAACTTGCCATATGCCTTTGTGTCTTTGACATTATACGATATGACCTCCTTCTAAGTGCAAATTATATGGCCTAGCTATCTCTTTTTTTCATTGCAAGTCAATCTGATAAGTTTTTCATCTTTAGATTTCAAATTTGCCAAAAATGTATGTTTTTTGATAAATTAAAAAATGTTCATGGTAATAAGAATGCATGTTGATTGTGTCATGGAAAAAAAAACTATTTAGTGTAGTAGTACATGTTATCTAAACCCTGCATTATTCATCTTCTCTTCATGCTTTACCATTTGAGATTATCTTTTGCTCCTTTTACTCCTTGCTGTGGCTATTTTGTTCATTCTAGATATATTTTGATGTTCCTCTGAAATTGCTATAAAAATTTCTGTCATTTTAATTTGTAATTTTCTTGGTCATAATAATTCTGTTCACCATCACTTGCACCCAGTGATGAAGTGGGGTTCATTCATCCATCCCAGTTTGTTGCATTGATTGAAGAGGCTGGTGGTCCATCCCTTTCATCTGTCGGATCTGTGCTTCATTCTACAGATGGGACCATTAAATCAAAAATATCAGAAGTTAATTTTTCCAAACTGGTTTTCTGGAGTAAAGACCATAAGTTGGGCATCTCAACCCTGTTTCTTCTTCCATTATATAATGCAGCCAAAGATGCATTTATGGCCGCACTAGAACAGTATAAAATGCTTAGCAACTTGTATGGAAAGAAAAATGAATCAGAAGATGGAAATGCAGTGAACTTCTATTCCTCTTCTCTAAACGCTTTCGAAACTGAAGTCATGAAGCATAGCAGGGCAGTTTTGCTGCTAAGCTGTGATTTTGGCACTGCATGGAATGCCAGGTTGGCTTTTCTCTGTGTCCTGTTCATACTGATAGCTTTATCTTTTTTTTTTGTTCAGTTGGCCTTCAATTATGTTGCTAACACCATTTCTTGAATTTTTGATGGATACTTGTCTTCTACTTGTGAGGAACCTTTTTTCCAACATATTGATTTGTTTGCTCTGCCAATTGACCTTTCCAAAACTCTACTATTGTTAACTAGTACAGCTGTGACTTATGATCTACTAACCAATTTGCCAGATTCTTCAACTTATATGATGTACTATTCTTCACCACTGTCATACCTGGGTGAGAAGATATTTATAAAATCTCTTGTTCAAAGTAAAAGCTCCAACTCTCTATTTTCACTTGTCCTCCTCCGGTTAGGAAATGTTATGGCTTCTTATGATAATTGGCGGCAAAGAAAGGTAAAAGTGTAATTCAGAGCTACATTTGCCACACTCATGCAAAAGAAAAAAAGAAGGAAACATTTTTTTTTGGGTGCTCCTGACAAAATTTATTTTGGTCTTTTTATTACTGATTCGACTTCCATATGGACTTTGCCTAATTTATCTCCTCTACCATCCTTAAGAATATATAGCTGTGAATTTTAGCATACTTTGTCAACTTGGTCTATGTTAATTTAGATGCTATTTACCTGGTTAACTACTCTAAAGTTCGACACTGACACAAGGTGTCTGCACATGCTGAACTGACAGCATGGGTTTAGAATACAGCTGTGGGGCCATCGGTAGTTAGCATGAAGTCCAATAACAATGTGGGTTATTTTGCTTAGGGCAGGAAATGTAGTTTAAATTCAAGTGTCCCTTACCATCAGATGGAATTGTTTACATGGCATCTGATGGCCCAGGCCATGGAGATTTGCTGGCCTCAAATTTTACTGCATTTGTCGTTACACAACCTGTGAGAACATCTCAATCTGCCCAGTTTTCACATAGTATTCTGAGTTATGTCTTTTTATTCAGTGGCCAGTCTAGATTATGACACCAGGTATGTTGTTTGTGCCATGCAGGAAGCTAGTTGTGTCAAAGAAACAACACTTTCCAGTATTTCTGGATGAACTCCTGTTGTCAGCACTTGTTCTTTCATATTCGCCAAAAAGTGAATGTGCTTGGAACCATAGGTAACATGCGTGGATAGATTTCTTCATATTTTCTGTAGGCAATTTAATGCTGTATTATCCTTGGTGGACTGTCTCCCATAAAAGCTTTGGCTTCATTTGTACGGCAGGGAGTTTTTCTATGTTCTTGATACGCTGCTTTCAAGATATGTATGATTTTTATGTACAATTACACTTCTAGGTACATTTGACTTATCAGAAAGAATTTCACGATTTTTGATACATGTGTACATAAACACTGAAATCCTTTGGTATGGACATCTTTTACTTTTGGTGTTTCTTTGAGCCCAAGTTTTATTAATTTCCATTACTGATAGGCGGTGGGTGATCAAGATAATTGCTGGAAGGTGTTCAAATCTTCAAGAGATTATGGAAAGGGAATCTGAGTTAGTGAAAAAAATAGCTGAGGTTTAGTTTTCAATTCAGGAACTGGTGCATTTAAATATCCAAGTCTCATTAATTTATTTTTTTTTGAGTTCTTAATTATTTCAGCTGTTGTATTTAGGCTTTGTACATGTTCCTAAGAAGTGTCCTACTCCTTTTTTCTTTTCCTGCAAAAATTGTTAGCTTCCTTTTCTCCTGTTTTTATGGCGTCGATCTAGTGTTTGAGTTTTGTACTTTCCTGCCACATCTGAATTTGAAGATGGAGATTCTTTTGTGGAAAAAATATTTGGACTGGAGCAAAGGAAGATCATATCATATCTGCCAAATATTCATATGGAAAAAAAGATCTTACATGTCAAAATCCATGTTCTGTCCTATGCATATTCTTAGATGTCTTAATGCAGCAAGTAATATTGGTTTACCATAATTTCACGCTATGAACCAATTGTCAGGTTGTGCTTTTGTTGGGTGCTTGTGTGGGAGGTGCTAACCAGCAATAGTTTAAGCCAATTTCTTTTCTGGGTGAACGTATCCCTTTTAACTTTTACTTTGATTACATAATTGAAAGAAGAGAGAGAGAGAAAAAGCTATAGCAATAGTTACAAGAATCTCTCTTTTTTGGGGCTTTTTTGGAATATGTTATAGAGTGAAAGGATACGGATGGAGGTGGAGAAAATGGATTATGGGATGTTTGAACTCTATGAATTTTTCTGTTATGATGAATGCAAAGCCTAGAGGTAGATTTAATACTTTTAGAGGATTGAGAAAGGCCGAGATCTTATACAGAAGGCTAAAAGTTGTGATTTGGTGGAGGGCTTTAGCTTCATATAGTGGGAAGGGATAGAATTTCGATTTCTTATTTATAGTTTGCTGATGATACAAAATTTTTTTTTAGAGGGAGAGGAGGGAAAGTTGTTAAATTTTAAGAATATTGTAGAGGTGTTTGGTTTAGTTTATGGTTTGAAGGTGAATATGTGTAAAAGTGTACTTGTGGCCATTAATTCAAATCAAGAAAAGATTAGTAGCTTAGGGGGACTTTTGGGGTGTAAGGTAGGAGAGCGATCTCCGAAGTATTTGGGATTACCATTGGATGAGAATCCACTATTGTTATCTTTTTGGGATCTGGTGGTGGAAAAAGTTGGAAAGAGGTTATAGATAGGTGGAACAAAGCTTATATATCTGAAGTGGAAAGTATGTCTCTTGTTCAGTCAATTCTATCTAGTATTGCCACACTTTTTATCTCTATTCAAGTTACTAAGTAGCTTTGAGAATTGGAAAAATGAGGAATTTTTTGTGAGAAGGTAGTGGAAAAGGGAGAAATGATCATTTGATTAGTTGGAGGATGGTGTCTAGATCAAAGGAGGTCTTTCAAATGGTAATTTGAAAGTAAGCAATATTGTTTTGGTAGGTAAGTGGTTTTGGAGGTTTCTATTGGAAATAATTTCTTTACGACATTTAGTTATCAAGAGCAAATATAGATTAAATGTTAACGGATGAGACACTGATAGAGTTGAGAGGGGCAATTTCCGATACCCTGGGAAATTCATTTCTTAGGGTTTGATGATTTTTTCATAGGAATTTGGATTAGTGGTGGATAATGAGAGAATTTGTTTTTGGGATGATGTTGGTGTAGGTGAACATTGTCTTTCATTTTTGTGTCCTTATCTTTGTCATTTATCCCGTTTTCGTAATCCATTCATTGTGTCTATGATTCGTTCATATATATCTTCATATTCTTGGAATTTTGATTTTCATAGGAATTTTGATGATAGAGACACCATTGATTTGATGTCATTCCTTGATATTCTTAACATTGTTATGAATAATTAATCGGATGATAAAATAAAGAGAATGTTATCCTACATCAGGAGTCTTTTCGCTTAGATCTTTCTTTAATTCTTTGGCGGAGGAAAATTCTTAATCCTACTTTTGTTACTGCATTGATGATATGGATGGTTAAAGTACTTTTAAAGGTGCAATTTTTTGTATGGACAGTGCCAAATGGTAAGATTAACATTAATGACATGCTTCATAAAAGAAGCCCTCATACTTGTCTTTCCCTTTAGTGGTGTGTGATATGTAAAGGTGCCGGTGAGAGTGTTGATTATTTTTTTTTTACATGGCCGTGATACTTTGAATTTGTTATTCAGGAGAAAAAGACCATGTAAAGGTGCAACCTTTTATACAATGACATTGAGGTAGTACACCACTTGAAAACTTGGGTACCGTTTCCTACAAATAGGCTTTTGTGGGCTAGGATTTTTGAAGTACAAGAAAGAGTTTTAGGCTTTGTCATTTGACAAGAGTATGAGGTCCATTTTTTCAAAGGTGGTTAGTCAGGAGAGGTTTAAAAGTTGGTTGCTGAAAATTCTGGCCACAGCTTATTCAAGAAAATAAAAAAGGAAAATTTTGGTGAACAACTGTTTGTGGGCTTTGTTGTTAAATCACGGGCCAAACAGGTAGTGGAAAGGTCGATGGTTGTGGGTTTGAGGGAAGTGCAATCTAAAATTTGAATAGCAAATCTGGTTGCAGGAAAGAATGATGAGAAAATGACATGACTGAGAAAATTAAAATTTTAAGAATCTTAGCATGAATCCATAGGCTTCACTTCAAGGGTTAGAATCGCACTATAGCAAACCTGAGATTCAATGTTTACTCTTTTTTTTTTTTTTCCGTGCTTTGCATCTGTCAAACCATATACTAGTTTGTCCATTAATTTATAACCTGGTGACTATGATTAATGGATGTGTATAACCACTCTGGGAAATGGGCCTATGACTAGGCTGGCGTTGCTTGGATAGATACGAAGTTATGTCTGTGCTGAGACCTAATTGCCTTGATCATCTCAATCTAGAGCAAGGATCAAAAGTTTATTTCTGTGCATAGGTTTGGTCAGCTTGAAAACGAAGACATTTCAGAAATTCATTGGAAACATTCCGGAACCAGAATAAAAAAAAATTAAAAATTTAAAAACTTATTTGCCAAAACATTGGTCAAAACATTTCGAAACACATTTAAAATTGAAATTTTGATATTCAGTCTCTAATTCATTTTGGTTCTGGGGAAATAAAAACATTTCGTTCGTTTTGGTGGAAAAGTAACGGAATTTTGATCCTTGATCTAGAGGGTAGATGTGCTCCTGCTGCAGCCCCTCATCCATGGGTAAAATGTGTGGGAGCATGTAACACATGCAATGTCCAAACCACATGATGAGAGGAGCCTTTAGGTGAAGTCTGCACCTCCTATAAATGGATCATCTACATCTTGTGCACAAATAATGGGCCAAAATGTTTTATATGTTGTCCAGAAAATTTGAAAGATGCACATGAGTACTTATAAATTCCTATATAGTTTTTTATTGTTGACTAATTTTAATTCCTTATTCTTTAATATAGCAATTGCTATCTATATTACCTCACACAGAGAGATATATACGTATCTGTACTCATAATTCACATACACATGTATAGGGAAAAAGAATAAAAAGGGAAAAATAAGGAAAAAATCTCTTTTACCCTTTGCTTGGAAGATATAATGTACATCTAGAGTATCTTTCTAATTGTCCAAGTGCATTTGTTTACCATGCATTCCACAAGTGTAGGTAGTGTTGTTAAAAGCGTGTGGAGGCGCTCTCCTAGGCCTAGGGCGAGGCGAGGCACACTTGAGCACATTGATGAACTTGAGTTGAGGTAACCTTGTTAAGGCATAGTCGAGGTGCAAGAAGCGCTTGCTCTAGGCTAATGCCCCCAGCGCTTGAGGCATGGGTTTTTTGCCCTTTAGTTAAGAATCAAAATTTCGTTTCTAATCGGTCGAAATGTCTAAAATGTTTTTGTTTCCAAAGCAATGAAAACGAAATAGTGATGAAATCGATATTCTAATATTTTGAGGTGTTTTATAATGTTTTGAAGTTTTTGTAATGTTTCAATGCATTTTTACAATTTTTTCGGAATGTTTCAAGGTATTAAAAATATTTTGGTATATTCCGACCAATGTTTTGGAAAAATAATTCTTAAATTTTTTATTTTTTTTTATTTTGTTCTTGAAACGGATTGAATTGTTTCTGAGACATGTCAAAACGTTTCTGTTCCTTAGGTAATTGAAGTAATGCATCGAAACGAAATTTTGATCATTGCCTTTAGTAATGTGTTTTAGGCCATTGATATTATTGAAGTATAAATAGTTAAGTTACATCCTCTTCAACAGCTTAAGATTTTGGAATAGATAGTTGTTTAATATAGTATCAAAGTAAGAGGTCTTTGTGTTCGAATCTCTTCATCACCCTAATTATTAAAAAGATTTTCATGTGCTAGGCCCTAAATTTAGCCAGCATGTGAGGGGACGTGTTAAAGTACAAATACTTCAGTTATATCCTTCACACATATTAAACTTTTGGAGTAGATGGTCATAAACTATATTGACTTTAGATTTACATAGTACTAAACTTTTCAGTTTCAGACTTATCTAACTTTAAGTATAAATATCTATTTTGAAATATCTATATGCCTTGTTATTTTTTATGTAGTTTGTCATCTCTCTCTCTTGCTCTCGTTGAAACTAGCCCTAATTCCCTAAACTCAGCATCTTTTTTTCCCAAAAAAGAAACCTTTTTTGTTGTTCAATGAGTCCCCAACTGTGAAATTAGCCTTTGATTCTAAGAAATATACTTATGTAGCTTTGTTCCAGTCTCCATCTCTCTATTATTCGTATTCTTTTTGACTCTATTTAGGAATCTTTTCACAGGATGTTGAAATTGGTTAAGGATATGAATAACTCTTAAAGTAGGTTTAGAAAATATTGTGTATATGTACTATAATATAATGTTCAAAATTGACTAATTTTTCTAATAATCTTGCTGTAATTAATGCGGTTGAACTAGTTAAAATGAGTTGAATTTGTGGGGCCTTGACATAATGGTAAGGCTGCTCCACTGAGCGCCAAGGGATCAAGTCACAAAAACAGCCTCTCAGTTCCTTGAGTCTCCCCAAACTCTGTAGTGCCACGAGTGTCTTGTAGTGGGCTGCTATTTTTTTATTTTTTTTTTGTGTGCGCTTCGCAAGGGAATTAGCTGTTTTTGTAGAATATAAGTGAGATGCTACTGAGATCTATAGATGTTGTATTTTCGTGAAATTTTCTAATTTTTTTGTATGCAATGGAATTGTATGGAATTGTCTGGAATGATAGGCAAATGAAAGACATTTTCAAGATTCTTATTCATCCACGTGCATCTTGTTTGCTTGAATCCTGCGCTTTGCTTTGCGCGGGGGACACTTGAGACCTTGGTATTTTGGTGCAATTTTCATCTTAAATAATGTTGGGCATGGGCTCATTAATATATATCTTTCAGGTTGTCACCCTTTATTGCCCTCCATTTGTTTGCTGGATCTGAAACAATAGTCCCATTCATGTTATTTCCTTTTAAATATTTGTGCCTTGTTGATCTGTTATGAATATGAATTTGATTATTATTTTTTTCTTCCACAATGTGATATGTGTGGGGTCTTTTTAGGGTTTGAAGATGATATTTGATTATGTTGTTGTGTTACATTAAAGTTCTAATTATATTTACAAGAAAATTTAAAGTACTTTGTTTGGTTGTACTTCTCTCTCTCTTCTCCTCTCTCTACCAACCCTTGAACCCTTGACCTTATGGTGAGAATTGTACTCTGTTTGGTTGTACTTAAGTTGTCCTCGTAGTGTTATTTGTCATTAGATTTTATCGATATCCATATGCCATTAAGTAATATATGCAGTTAGGCACAAAAGTTGGGAGAATAATGTGTTGCTAAAGAATGAAATAACCTTAACTTCCAATAATATTAAAATTACACTTTGTATTCCAATTTGTCCACTACGAATAAAGGGTTCATTATCTATGTAATTAGAAAATGTTACCAATATAAGAACAGTAGTAAGGATCAATCATGGAGATTCAACGTGGGTCCTTTGAATGGAAGAAAAGTAGTAATTTGGTTTTCACTTTCTTTGCAGAAATCAAAGATGAATTATCGTGCATGGAATCATCGTTGCTGGTTAGTTTCTTACATGTCACTGGATCAGGTCTGATTATAATGCTATCAGGCATTTTAAATGGTATCATTCTTTTTTGTGTTCTAGGACTAAAAAAAATTATGTTTTACTTTCAGTTGCATTCTCCTAATTGTGAAATATACAAGGAAAGCTAGATTTTCGGAAGTTCTTATATGTTATTTTTGTATGCTAAAAAAATTGTCGTATTCCGTTTCTTTCTGTTGTAAACTTGTTTCCTTTTTAGTCTGTTTGCCAGTTTTGATTTTGGTTATGCTGTTTGCTATTGTCTTTGTTCATGTCATGTGTGTGTATGTGCCTAGGTGCATTTGTTGGTTGCTCTCTTGTATTGAAATGATAGTTTTTGAGTTGCTTTATGTGGCTTTTTTGTGCTAAATGGATCTAATTGCATGCATTCAGGTACTGCATGAGTTCAAAAAATCTCAAGATTGGGCTGGATTACATGTTGCCGATAACTCTTGTTTTCACTACCGTACAGTGAGTTCCCACTTTTCTTCTCCTACACTGATGCAAATGAACAAAATCACAAATTAGTTAAGGATATTGTTCTCAGAGTATATGGATATGTATACGACTCTATGCTGGTTTAGATTCCTGGTTTATAGATGTATGTGCCAAAAAAGTCTCATTTTGGGATCTCCTTAGGAATTTTAGGGTTTTAATGGCAAGATGCAGTTGTGGTCATAATCCTGCCATTGCACCATTTTCATGTAATCTGTGTCAATATCTGGTCGATATGATTTAACCCATTTTGTACGCCCCCGGCCCCCGGTCAACGGAGTATTTGGAATTATGATGTAAGAGCATCTCCAATAGTGTTCTCTAAAATAGAGAGCATCTCTTTTAAAATAAAGAGCATCTTTGACAAAAAGTTAAATAGATAGTAAAATTTTGTATACCACTTCGGTAGGACTCTTTATTCTTATCAATTTATTATTTTATGCTTTGTCCTTTTTAAAAATAAATTTGACTTTCCTCGTTTTTAGTGTTGATATATATTTTATCTTGATTGTCTTAGATAAAATGACAAATATACCCTTTTTATGTTCCAAAAAAATAGAGTAGAGAGTCTGTTTGACTCTCCAAATGTAGAGAGCCAAATTGGACTCTTTATTTTATAGAGGCTAAATAAATAGTAGATGAAATTTTAGTAGTTGATTGTCTAAAATAGAGAATTGAGTGTCAATAAAGAGCCTATTGGAGATGCTCTAATATCATGCAATACCCAAGGCTGTAATAATTGTTCACAATCATTTTTTTTTGTCTCTGTAGTGGTATATCTTTCACCATTAAAAATCCTCAGTATTATGGAGTTCATGTACAGTCACCGGTCAGTTATTATGTTCCTCTTTTTCCCCTTCAACCACTCTCCATTTTCCTTTGGTTTGGATATTCAATAGTAGGTTGTGTCAATTGTCATTTAGTACAAAAGGCACACATGACCCCACCAATCAGGCAAAAGTGGACCTTGATCTAACAAACCTGACTGATGATGATACTCAGTAAATGCTTATACGTCTTTGTAATATTGTATTTGTGTACTCTACTTATTTGGGTAGAAAATTTATAAGAAGAAAAGGGAAAGACCCAAAATATCTAACATCCCCCCCCCCCCCCTCCAGAAAAGGTATAGAAGTGATATTATATTCACAAGCATAATGTGATATATGCACTCTCCACTCTCAATCTAACCTATTCTTGATTTGCCCGAACATGACCCGCCATAGTTAGGAAAATGTGCAAACAATGGCTTTGATTTTCTGATGATGTTGCTCTACCATTTATCTTACAGTTGTTGTTTTCACTAATTGGCAGCGGTTAATGCTCAGAATGTTGGAGGATTCATGTCATAGACAGGATTCTATAGCATGCTTCAGTTACTGTGCAGAACTTTATGAAGTGTGGAAGGTATGCTTTTTTTTTTTTTTGTTTCACATTCTTTTTTGTAATTTTGAGATTATAGACAAGTAGTTTGTTATTTTGAGCAAGCATGTCTGCTTCATGCTTTATGCTGTGGTGCATGTGGGTTGGTGGGTGTGTTTTCAAATTCAAAATGCCCTTCTGAAGTAAAATAACCGTTATTGTCACTTGTAAAGTAATTGTGGTTGAAGAAGTCATTATTCAACCATTTTTTGAGTGCAAGTGAATTCGAGTCAGCAACATAGATACTAGGATCGTAAATATCTCATGTGGCCCATGAACCCGGGCCGCACAAACCCAGTTAGGGTGGGTTTGCGATCCATATCATAGATGCCGAGATCGTAGTACCCCTAGCATCCCACAAACTGAGGTTGCATGATCCGAAATTAGGTGGGTTCGTTATCTAGATTACTCAAATTGTCGATTTGAATTATAACTCGAACTGCAAATGGATTTGAGTAATCCCCCATCATGTCCCCAATCCCAAATCGTAAGCCTAACTTGTTATTCATTTATTTTAGAGTGCTTTAAACTTGTATTTTGATTTGATGCGATTTGAATTTTTTTCATAATACAAATGTCTGACTGTTTGTTTTTTGTTATTTGTAGCCACTTACAAATATATTATCTTGAATTATGATTCCTTTTGGAGCTTTTATCAGAAATATAAAATAAATATTAGTTAACTATGTGTCTCCAATGGATTATTTTATAGAAAGTTACAAAATGAACCACGACAAAAAAAATTGTACCCACTAAGTCTACTCCTATCGTATCGTATCGCATATGAGAAGAAAGTATTGTATTGCGTACCCATACCACAACCCAAATCGACCCACGACCCAAGTAATATTGATGTAGATTGTCCAAATTCTTTATCCCAAATTGTAACTCAAATTTTGAAATCGACCCACGGTCTAGGTTATCACAAATTATAATCCTAACAGCAAATTGTAACCATAACTGGTTGTCTTTATTTTGATGATCTTTAAGCACCTGTTTTGATGTGGTATGAATTGAATTTTCAGCTTTTATTATGTAGAAGGGTAAATTGCGCTAGTAGTCTCTGATGTTTATCGTTAATTGCACTTTAATCCTTGAATTTTACTTTTTTGTCAATATTAACCCCCCTGGGGTTTTTTTTTGTTCGTAGGCCCAAGCCCTTCTTGGTTAGAAAGGCCTTCTCCTTCTCCTTAAAAAGAATGTTGCTTGACTAAATGAACATTGTAAAACTCTTCCTAATTGACACACTAGTCATAATGCCACCCACATCCTTCAATGTACTAAAATAACTGAGATTTTTGTTATGTTGCCGGGGACAAAAATATTGACATATGATTCTTTTAAGCCCTGCTGAATGGTCGTATACATTGTGGCTTGTCAGGATATTGTGTTTTCCCCGGTGCTGATTTTGTCGTTTTATTTTTTATTTTTCTTTAACAGCAAGTAATCGAACTTTGGGATTTTACAGTTATGCATGTGACCCCTTAGCTTGATTGTCATATTAACGTCAAACAGGCTTGCACAACTCATAGGTAATGGTACATGATTAGAATGGGTGCTGATTCTGTTGTTTAAAGGATGAATATGCAAGAATGGACTTTGTGTTCATTATAGCTTGCCAATAGTTAACTCACATTAAATGCTAAAAATTTTATGTAGTTGCGTATATTTTCAAACGCATTGTCATAAAATTAGTGTTGCTCTTCTCCAGAGCATCCTAACATGCCCCAAGACAACACAAATTATTGGTTAATTGCATGGCCTTTGGGGTTTTGGTTTCTGTCTCTCTATGCTTCTATAAAAGCTTAAAGCTTGTTGTCTCACTTTTTTCACAATGTGGGTGTGACAGGAAGAGCTCAATTGGAATGAGATGCTAATAAAACGCTATATAGGAAGAGAGGTAAGTGATTGGCTTTAGCTTTTTTAATTTTCGAGGATTTGGTGAAATCGGGGACATTGTGGTTTTGAATTTGTATGACAAATCTCGAAATGGTTTAGAACCTTCATAATGCTTTTGCTTCTCCGTCGAAGAACCGTAGACGTCCTCTACGGTTGCGGACCTGGCTCCATGATTTGGGGCATAAAACATGTAGAGAGCTGGCCTCCATTGGCCAAAGGACCATAATAGGCTTCTGATTTCTCACTCGCTCTTCAGAGGAAAAGGAAGCAATGCTTGTATTATGCTTTTTTGTTGTGTGTTTGGATGTTTTTCTGCACGTTTGTGCTTGGGTGCATGTTTGATTTGGGTGCGGAGGACGACAATCTATGCAGACATTCATGCAAGACCTTCCAACTAATCTCACCATACTTGTTTTTGCTGATTACCTGATATAGGCTTTATATAGTGGCTATGGAATTCTATAATTGTCAAGTCCTATGGACTCAGAGCATGTCAAAACTGGATCCACAATATTGCGGTCCTCATCTGACTCATGATTTACTTATTGTCCATATTTTCATTTGCACAACAAAACATAAGATGCCTGAAGGCTTCACTGGGAAAGGCACCTCGTTGCTCATCAACGTTCATTAAAGATGTTCACCTAACTAATTTATGTAGTATCTGACGGTCATCAGCAGAGAACAAACAAGGCCTAATTTAGTTGGTCACCACAGACTTTCTCAAATAGGAGATCAGTTGATCATTCATTGGCTCTGATAATGATTGTTCTATTTTTCCTCCTGTCAAGGTGCTCTATTTTGCTGTCGATTTGGGTCTCTCTTATACTCCTGGTTGGATGTTCCCTCCTCTGCTCATAGTGTAGATTAATTGTAATGTCATCCCTCCTTGTGTGCTTGCTCCTCTATTTGTTATGTAGATTGATTGGATTGTGATAAAATTGATTGGATTGGAATACTTGGCAGGCTTTGTGGCTTCATCGCCGCTTCCTCTCCATATGTTGGATAAATCATTTTGCAAGAACCAGTACCGGCGATGTGTCCTGCCATATTGATCACAAAATTGGCAGACATTGCGACTTTGATATGTTTATGAATAATGAATTACAACTCTTCCGCTCCTGCACAACTATTGTTGATGATGACTTTGAGGATTATCAAGCGCAGGCAACGTATTCCGCCATTTACATATTGTGGCTCACAAAGGTAATTAAATTTTCTCAAGAATACGTTAACACATATTTCAACTGAATTTTCAAGGAATTTACTGTTTCCTTTCGTATTTCCTTGTGCCCATCAGCAAATATCACCCCGTTTTGGATTTGAGCTTCAAAAAAAACTACGAGCAGGTGAGCTGGAGATACTGCTTAGTAAGGTCTCAGAAAAGACCTCCGTTTGGGATTTTTTAGGCGTGGAATGTGGAAGCAAATAACCTTTGTAGCATGATTTGGGTTGTCCTATTCTTGTGGTAAATGTAATGTCTTGGCGCTCTGAGCTTATTTTAACGAGTGTCAACCATGCATAGTCTGAACTACATGAAAAGCTGTTACCATCTTGCATTCAAAACACTTCTAACCGAACTGACAATTTGTATAAAGATGACAGGAACGCCAGATAAGTTTTATCCAAAATGAAAATTGAAATTCCATCTTAGAAACAAAAGTATTCTGTTGAAGCTGTCGTAGAAGGATTGATTTAGTTGTGCTATGGCATTGCATTTCTCGGCAATTGAGAGGATGTGCCAAGGGTTCAAAGCTCCCAAGAAAATGTATTTCGACTCTTTCAAGCCAATCAACTTGAAATTTGAAGCTTCAGCCTAGAATCCAAGTTATTGCTGGTGAAAAAATTGGCCATATGCAATCAATCTGTTTAACGCTTTCAAATAAGTCAATAATATTTTTTTGAAATGAAAAAGCTCTCTCTGCACGGGTCAGAATGAAAGAGATCTGCTTAATTAGTCATAATGGCAGAAATTCTCTTTTGAGTTTCCCCATTAATGTTGTGACCTAATTCTGAATCATCTTTTGGAATCGTGGGGCGAACGAGCTTCTCATGTCATTACTCACATACATCATCATGATCAAGTTATTCGGAAGGCTGAGCAGCATCCTAGCATTTTTATATGTTAGAGTATTTTATTTAATTGGTTGTGTTATGCTCTAGAAATGACAAGTAATTGTTAAAAAAAAAAAACAGAGATAATTTTCTCCCTCAGTTCATTTGTTTTGTTGTTGTCGCTACTTGATAAGAAAGATTGGTTACTTTCTAGTCTATCACAGTGACCTATCATAACTGGGCAAGCCTGATAATTCCTTCTACATTAGTAGATATTTGGTATATAGTTATAGTCAATGAATTATTTGGGAATTGGGATAGATCGGGGGTATTTTAAGTAGGGTTAATAGCAAATTGCACTCCGAAAGATTGTTTGAATTTTAATTTATACTCTCAGATCAAAAATCTCAATTTCTACTCTTAAAAATATAAATTTATATTAATGCGCACTTGAAGGTTAGTGGTCAGTTTCTCGTCTGAAACTAAATAGATAAATTACACCTAAATCCTCTCATACTTGTCACTTAATCACATAGACTCCTCACATTTGAAATATTATACCTACATCTACTGAAAATTCTCATATGACTAAAAATGTTCTTCAAATTAGGCATCCAAATAATTTTGTTCAAGTGATGTATTGCATTGGATATAAAAAACATTATATAAATACCTGCACTATAGTAGGCATTTAAATGATAAGCTTGATTTTAAACTTTAAAGTCTAACGGACCTACAAAATAAAGAGTAATATGAAAATTATAATTTTTTATTAGGATAAAATAATTTTTTTAGCGGTTATATTAATAGATATCAACAATAAGGGGTTATGTATTATATGTGCACAAACGTCAGAAGGTGTAGGAGTTATATTCTAAATGTGAGGGGTTCAAATAATTAAGTGACAAAGTTGAAGGGGTATAGGTGTAATTTATCTAATTAGTTTTAGACCACAAACTAATGTCTGTTAGCTTTAGGTGCGCATTAATACAAATTTATATATTTGAGGGTGCAAATCTTTAAGAATACGAATTGAGATTTAAAAGATCTTTTGGAGTATAATTTATAATTAATACTTTTTAGTATCAATTTCAATAGTTTAGGGTCGCTTCAGACTTATTTTCGTAACTTTTCCTTATTTTTCGTGCCTTGACTCAAACAAATGGGAAACTTTGATGTTTCGTTTGGTACCAAGTCTTACCCAATAAACAAAAGGGAAAAGGAAGGAACACACAACACATACAAGCATCGCCATAGACGAACCATGGTAGCTCCACCGTGAGAGGGTATGAGGTGCATTTGATTGTTGTACCCCTGCTAAAATCATGTGCATGGCGCATGCTGTGGGATGATATGGAAAAGGCAATGGAAGTTAGATTTTGGATCATATTGATATCTTTTGATGAAGTTAAGGTTGTAATATAAGAATGTTTATCCTAAAGGATATAAATTGAGTAATATAATCTTTCTAGGTGCGAAATATTATTCACCCTTATTAATATCATAGAGTTTGAACCGAATTTCTCAATTCATATAATAAAACTGCTTCCCGTGGTCTCTACTTATTTACTTTCATCTAATTTGTTAGATCCTGTCAAGTGTCACATGAAATTTTCCTCTTAACACACTCGAGGAAAAATTTAATCTTTGAATCCCTAGAAGTTCTACTTGGATGGTTTGACGGGAAGACATCTTCATTTGTCCCGAGCAAATATGATGTTGATTCATGGGGTAGTGTTGCATTTGTTGAATCATATAAAGATTGTAATTAGAATTCCTAATCAATGAAAATTCTTGATAGAAATCTCGAATTAGTATATTTTCTCAAGTTAAAAAACTACAATCGCTATCACAGAATACCAAATAGCTATGAATTTTCAATCTTAATTTTTTGCAAAATTTTCTTGTGAATAGAGCTTGAATCCCACATAAAAAGATTAAGATTGTTTGAGGTTGGTTCATACAATTGAGGGTCTTTCCACCAACTTAATGACAAATTACCAGATTGTAGACGATTAGGGCTTACACATGATTCGAGTGTGCCATTCCTCGGGCCAATTGACTATTTGCGAACAGTTGATTATTCATGTTGAGATCTAACTCCTTAATTTGATGGGTTGACATTCCTATCTCTGCTAGGATAAGTGCTTCCGTTCTAAAGGTTAAAGAGAACGGTGTTTTTCCCGTTGGTACCTTTACTATGGTCTTATATGCCCATAGGATATTTGGGAGCTGCTCCACCTAGAGACTCTTAGATTGTTATAATCCAGTCTTTATATATTTGTAGTAAAGTTTGATTAGTTACCTCCACCTACCCATTTTCTTGTGGATTACTAGGGGAGGAGTAATGATTACGAATCCCGAGCTCAGAGTTGAACTCCCTAAACTTGTCATTATCGCATTGCTTGCCGTTATCACTTATTATGATAGTTGGCATGCCGAACTTGTAAACAATTGACTTCCACACCAAATTCTGGATCTTTTGCTCTGTTATTGTTGTTAGTGGCTCAGCTTCCACTCACTTGGTGAAATAATCAACTACGACCATTGCAAACTTGTTCTGGCTCTTCACAATTATAAGTGGTCCCATAGTATCTTTCTCCATTGAGCAAATGACCATAGGCTCACGATTGGTATAAGTCTCTTTGTTGGGAGCCTTAAAACTGCAGCAAATTTCTGGCATTTTTTCACATTTTTGTACATAGCTCATGAAATTATTGGTTGATATTATTAGTTTTAATGATTCCTTATATTACAAGCGCATGTATTACTACGTGTCGAGTTATACTTTCATCTTTGACATACCAAATAAATCTCTCGGACTAGGGTGTAACAGAACATATAATATTATTTATAGTATTACAATAAATCTCAATAGGCCAGTTTACAGTTTTCGCATAAGGCCTCGATTTTGATTGGGCCGCCCTTGACTGGAAATAGACTCTGGCTCCGCCCTTGACTAGTATGTCCATCACATATAAAATCACATGAATGGTTTCCCATTAATGACTTGGAAATGACCAATCCAATGTTCAATCCCATGGATTGAAAGGAAGCATCAATATAAGACTGGTCAGAACTACCAACCTTCATGAAATTTAATAAATCTACGGGAATATAAATCTGGATTTACAGAGCGGCAGTTTCGAATGTAAGACCAGGGGGTGGGCCGAGACATTTTGGGGTTTAAAGCAGAAATAATAAATAAGGAATTTTTATTTATAATATTAATAATAAATTTAATTTTTAATTTTTTTAAATACAAAAATATTAATTAAGTTTTTATATTCAATTTTTTGTTATCATATTTGAACTTAATAGTAAGAGAGAGAGAAAGAATGATTGAAAAAATGGTAAGTTTAAACTTGACTTTTTCAAGTTTTAAAATTAGATTTTTTAATAGCTTTAGTTTTACATTTAGTTTTTTTTTTCTTTATTTAAAAAAATAAATTTTAGGGTCTTTTAATTTTGCAGCTGGATTAATAGGCCCAATCTATTTAAGTTGATATAGTTTGTTTAGACATGGATTTAAATTTTGGAAAATTTGGAGGTCAATCCCCTTATATAGACTTAGTTGGAGATAAGTCTACTACGGAAACTTATTTGGTTTTAAGTCTACTTTTTGTCAATTTTATTATTGTACCCCTACCCTTAGGAAAAATAATAACCGACGTCTGATTTACCGTCTCCTTCACATAGATTAGATTATTGAGTTATATATGAAAACCCTTGATTGAGTTATATATGGAAACCCTTTATTAAATAATATGATAATAATAGAAGTTTTACATGGAAGTTATATATTCTGATAGTTATATATGGAAGTTTAATGTATGAATAAATTGTTGGTCTATTAAGTCAAAATCAGAGCACAAAATTTCCTTAACAATTCAAAAATTTCTTAATATTAATGTTACTATAGTGACACTAATTTTACTATAGTGACACAAATGTTATTATAGTGACACGAATGATATTGTTTTTCTTAAAATACTCAATTTAGTAACAATTAATCTCAATTTTTAAATTAGGAATGCAAAAAAAAAAAAAAGGACAGTTTAAACTATATATTATGTATTAGTTTTTTAAAACTTTACAATGAATATCAACTTTTAGGTAAAATCACATACCTCAACTCTTTTCTGAATCTCAATGTTGTGAAGATATTTTTAATGCAAAGAATCAACTGTAACTTTGTCAATAGATGCTACAGTAAATTTGAAGAGTAAAATTGAAATTGATGTTGAGTTTGTGTTACTATTTGAAATGGTAAAATTCTTCATTATAGGTATTAAATATTTTAAGAAAAACAATCACATTCGTGTCACTATAATAAAATTAGTGTCACTATAGTAACACTAATGTTAATGAAATTTTGAATTGTTAAAGAAATTTTGTGATCTGATTTTGACTTAATAGACTAATGATTCATTCGTACATCAAATCACCATATATAACTATCAAAATGTATAATTTCTATATAAAACTTCATTAATTATCATAATATTTAATAAACGATTTTTATATATAACTCAATCAAGGATTTTCATATATATCTAAATGATCTAATCTATGTAACTTTCTATAATTGGACAAA